GTTTACATTTTTTGGACTAATATTTTTTTAGAAAGAGGTCGACAAGTAGGAAAAGATTTGTATAAGAAAATATAGTAATTGATCTTGAAAGTATTTCACTTATAAGTGAAAGGGTTATCACCTTGAGACACTCCTCTCAAGAATCTTCTAGGAACTTAGAGATAATTCTTCCTATATTACACTTTAACTTATCTTTTTATATTCTTCTAGTAATTCTAGAGACTAATTACATGAGGTTTACAATTCTAACATTTTCTAGAACTTAAGGTAATTTGCAGAACTTACTTTTTTTATCTTCCTAGAAATTTACATCACTTTTAACACTCTTCCTTGGTGCAAGTTCCTCCAAGCATAAAACTTAACTATTCAACCTTGGTTCTTGGAAGTGTCTTGGTAAATATGTTGCAATTTCATCTTTTGTAATGTAATAATCAAGTTGAATTTGTTTAGATGCTTCAGCCTCTTTGATAAAATGATATTTAATAGTTATGTGTTTTGTTATTTGATGATGGACTGAATTATTTGTCATTGTTATCGTTGATTTATTATCATAATAGATTGTAGTAGATCCATGTTTTTTTTTTCATCTCTTCAAGTATTCTTCGGAGCCATATATCTAGACTTGTAGATTTACCTATTGCCATGTACTCTGCCTCTACTATTGAATGTGCTACTATTGCTTGCCCTCTTAGATGTCCAAGAAAAAAATATGATCCAAGTGAGAAGCCATAACCTGATGTATTCTTCATGTCATCTATATATCCTGCTCAATCACTACCAATGTAGTCAATAAACTTTGAATCGATTTTTGCATGAACCTTGATAGAAGGCTTGTAGCATACATGATATTTGGTCGTGTAGCTATAAGATATAGTAAACTTCCAATCAAATTTCTATAGTGTGATGCGTCAGCTTCTGGTGCTCCATCATCTTTTTGTAACTTCTCATTTGCCACGAGTAGAGTAGCCAAATATTTGCAACCATACATCTTAGAATTTCTTTAATAAATTCTTAGTGTATTTCTTTTGAGAGATAAATATTCCTTCATTTTGTTGTCTTACCTCTATACCGAGGAAATAATTCATCAAGTCAAGGTCATTCATCTCAAATGTTTTCATCATGTCTTCTTTGAGTTTCCTTATCATCTTTATATTGTTTCATGTGTATATAATATCATCTACATATAGAGAGACAGTGAGAGTATCATACTGACCTTGGGTCTTGATGTATAATTTTGGCTCACTCTTAATCCTCTTGAATCTTTGATTAGTGAAGTATTGATCAATTTTGTTGTACCATGCTCGGGGAGCTTACTTCAAGCCATAGAGTTCTTTTATTAGCCTTAACACTTTGACTTTATTTCTTTTGTTTATAAAGCATTGTGGTTTCACCACATATATCTCTTCTTCAATTACACCATTTAAAAAGGTTGATTTGACATCCAATTAGTGAATGCTCCATCCTTTTTGTGTTGCAAGAGTTATTAAAGCTCTAATTGTGTCTAGACAAGCAACTGCGACAAATGTCTCATTATAATCGATTCCAAGTTATTGTGAAAAGCCCCTTGCTACCATCCTAGCCTTTACTTTTGTATGGTATCGTCAAGATTAAGCTTTGTTTTATAGACCCATTTTACACCAATTATGTTTTTTCCATGTGGGCAATCTACTAGTTCCCAAGTATTATTCTTTTCAATCATTTTAATTTCTTCCTCTATTGCATTGATCCAGACTTCTTACTTTTGCAGTCTCTTCCTAGTATTCAGGCTCAAGCATTGTCATGTTGCATGTTTCATATATATCCACCAAGGATCTTACTCTCTTAGGAGTAGACTCTGATGAAAAATCTTGTTGTTGTGCAGATAAAGGAAGCATACCGATCTTCTTGAGATTGTTGTACCGGAAGGAAGATGTTGTTTCTCATGATTTTTCATTATTCCCAATTACAAGAAGTATTTTCATTAACTTCAATGTCTCTACTAATTATGAGCTTATCTGTCTGTAAGTTATAGACTCTATAGCCTTTTGTTTGTATGTTATATCCCAAGAAGATTCTCCGTATAGTCTTCTTGTCTTCTAATTTGTGCCTTTTTCTGATCTGGCACATGTATGTAACAGATAGATCTAAAAATTCCTAAGTGTTTAGTTGATGGCTTTTTCCCACTCCAAGCTTCATTTGAAGTTTTGGTTTTTTAACTATCTTAGTTGGGCATCTGTTGAGTATATACACGATAATGTAGACTGTTTCTACCCAAAACATATTTAGCAAGTCATTCTCCTTTAGCATTAATCTTGCCATCTCCATCATTGTGCAATTCTTCGTTTCTTATAGATCATTTTGTTGTGGTGTATACGCAACTGTAAGTTGTCTTTCTATTCCTTAATCATCATAGAACTTATCAAACTCATGTAAGTTATATTCTTTACCTCGATAGCGTATTAGAACTTTTACGTGTTTTCCACTTTGTTTCTCGATGAGTGCTTTAAACTTCTTGAATATTCCAAAGACTTCTGATTCTTCTTTGATGAAGTAAACCATTATTCTAGAAAATTTATTGATGAAAAGGATAAAGTATCTATTGTTCTTTAGTGATGATGTCCTCATCGATCCACAATTATTTATATGGATTAATTCCAACAAATCTTTTGTTTTCCATGTTTTTTTGGTTGAAAATGGTAATTTATGTTGTTTTTCGATAAGACATCCTTCACAAGCTTTCTTATTCTCTTTCAGGTATGGAAGACCTCTCATCATATTCTTCTTATGTAATAGCTTCAAAGCCTAGGTGTTAAAGTGTCTAAACCTTCTATGCCAAAATCATGAATCATCAACTTGAACTTTCATGGCAATATCAATAGTATATTTGAAGTTTATAAGAAAACTTCTATTTATTTTCTCCATCTTTACTTCTCCTATCTCTCGTCTTTTATTGTCATAGATTTTGCATGTATCTCCTTTGAATTGAAGAGCATAACATTTCTCCATCATTTGGTCAATGCTTAAGATATTTTCTTTAACATTGGGAATGAGCAAGATATCTTTAATTAAGTCTCATATATTTCAGTCTCCAACGTAACATTGTCTATTCCTAATTGTACTTTCACTTTGACAGAATTGTCAATGTCCTTGAAGGTGTTTTGTCTTTGACCATGTGATTATTGTATCCACTATCCAAGTACCAAATTTTGCTTGTTTCATCATTAGAGTCTCGAGTAACATAGAAAAGATGTTGTTAAAGGTCATGCTCTTCAACGAAATTTGTTTGATACTTGTTTTTTATGTAACAATTTTTCCTTCACATATAAAACTTCTTCCAATGTTGCCATTGAGATTTTCCACAATGGCAATAATCTTTTTCTAGGTGACTTGACTTTTTTATGATGTCAACAACAAGGAGGAAATTTATCTTGATTATACTTGAAGAAATTTCTAGAGTTTTCTTTATTTTTAGAAATTTCTTCAATTTTCTTTCCACCAATTTCTTTATTTTGAGACTGTAATTTGAGCTTTGATTGAAAGACATTTTCAATAGAGTTTTCATTATATTTTTTCAATCTTTGCTCATATGCTTCAAGAGACCTTATTAGTTTTGTCACTGATAATGTAAATAGATCCTTAATTTATTCAATTGTTGTTACAATTACATCATATTTTTGGGGAATAGAAATAAGAATTTTCTCAACAATTTTCTTATCCAAAATATTTTCCCCATATGCCTCATTTGATTGTATTTTTTATTCTAGTATAATAATCCTTAATGGTTTCAAACTCCTTCATACTCAATAATTCAAACTCAATGTTGCGTACCTTTACATTTCCTTAAAACTCTTCCTATCATGTGCTTCACGACTCTTTGGCACTTGCGAAATCCATTATTCTTAAAAAAATCGCATCAACCATAACTTCTTGTAGAAAGTATAACACTCTTGAGTCTTTTTGTTTGTTCTCCTTCAACTTCTTCTTTTAAGTCGTTGTTAATGTATAAATGTATATAGGACTAATGAAGTCATCTTCTACAATCTCCCACATATCTTGAAAGAAAAAAAATGTCTTCATTTTAATACTCCAAAAGTCATAATTTTCTTCCGTGAAGATATGTAAATGGATAGATATAAAAAGATTGACATTAGCCATTAACTGAAATTGGTATGAAATATAGTAAGACTTTTTGAAAGTAGTAGGATTGTATCTTTGCCTAATAGATAATCAAACATAACTCTGATACCATTGTTAGTATTTTAGAAAGAATGGAAAAGATTGTTTGTTGATTAGTAATGAAGTTTATATAAAAAAATAGTTTTTAAAAGAGGAGGACAAGTAGGAGAAATGTTATATAAGAGAATATAGTAATTAATTTTAAAAATGTGGGTCACCACCTATGTATAAACATGAGATACTTCTCTCTAGAATATTCTAGGTACTTAAAAATCAATTTTCCTACTTACACTTTAACTTATCTTTTTATATTATTATAATAATTGTAGAGATTACTCAGGTAAGGTATATAATTATAATAATCTCTAGAACTTAAAGTAATTTGTAAAATATAATATTTGCTTTCTAGAAATTTGTATCACTTCTAACAAATTTATATTTTTATCATGTGATCTCAGTTGTCACGTGTAACTAGTGTGAAATTTATTTCTTCAACCACTCTTGATAACACATGGACAAAATCCTTTTAAATATATTACAAATTAAAAAGTGGGAGGAGGTTTGCGGAAGAGTTATTTTTTTGGTATTGATGGAGATAAACTTGAGTGGGAATAATAAGATAATTAGTGGTAGGCAGCACAGTTTTTGCTTGAAAAACAACATTAGGTAGTACAGTTTTTTCTTGAGAAACTACACTTCATCACTCAAGCAAAATCAAATGAAATACACAAATCACAAAGACAACAAACAGTTGGGTACATAATCTTATCATACAACATCAAATCAACCAAAAGCAAACACACTAGCAGCGCAAGGTCTTACTTCCCATTTCTTGCCTTTTGTGATCACACTGGAAGTGGTGGGACACTCTGCTCATGCCTGAAGACGTTTTGAGGATCAACTTTGGTCTTAATCTTTACCAACCTGTCGAAGTTGTTCTTGAAATACCTATAACCCCAGACACTTGCCTCCCTGTAGCTTGTGCTATTCTTGGTGTTTACTCCCAAATCAAGATCCCTGTAATTCACATATTGTCCCCTTGGGAAGCTTGACACATAAGGAACCATGTAGTTGTGAACGTTCCTAATCCAATCTATGTGCTTTGCAGCATTCTTGTCACCCTCTTGCCAAGCAGACAAGTAAAGAATGATGAACCTTGTTCCATTTCTGTAAGGAAAAGGGGTGTCAGATTCTGAAAACTGGTTCATGCTTCCACCATATGGGCTCCATATAATCAAGGAGCTATCGTCTTCAAGCACCCTTTGCCACAGCCCCTCGAGCCCGGTTTCTGGTATCGGTTCTCTTACAAAATCTGATTTTCCCTTGAAGAAGGTCTTGACTAGTGACTTTCCTCGAAGCAGAACTTCAGGATTAGTACCACTTGGAAAGTTTGAAAAATATAGCACAGATTTGATCCAGCTAGTTTCCAAGCAATCGTTTCTTCTCAAGCCCAACTCAGGGAAGCTTGTCTTCATGATTTTAAGAAGTTCTCTGGCCTCACCAAGGAAAAGAGCATTGTAAAGAGTTGTGATAGTTTTCTGTGTTCTTTGAATGAGTACTCTGATAAAGAGGTTGTGATCAACATAGGGTGCCACTTCCTGCCATCTTTGAAGAAGCTTGGTTGCACCTTCCTCAAGGGTCTTGTTAACTGTAAAAACTGTAACAGTTGAGGGCACAGGAACCAACTTAATCTTCCACCAAAGCAGGATACCAAAGCTTCCACCTCCACCACCTCTGATTGCCCAAAATAAGTCTTCCCCCATGGCTTCCCTATCAAGAATTCTTCCATTGGCATCGACAATTTTAGCATCTAAGACATTATCCACCGCTAGGCCATATTTTCTCACCATGGTTCCATATGCTCCTCCTGTAATGTGCCCTCCAATTCCTAAGCTTGTGCAAACCCCTGCAGGGAAACCATGAACTGAACTCTTCTCATATATTCTATAGTACACTTCACCGTTTGTGGCACCAGCCTCAACCCAAGCAGTGTTGCTTTTGATATCAACGTTTATTTCACGGAGCTTGATCAAGTCAATGACTATGAATACTCCTCCAATTTCGGAAACGTATGAGATCCCTTCAAAGTCATGGCCACCACTTAACACTCTAAAATGAATCCCAAGTTTCTTGGAGCAAATTACTGCTGCTTGAACATGGGAATCACGGGTGGGTGTGAATATAAACTTAGGTTTTGGTGCTGAAGACACCAAAAGCCTGCGATTCTGGCCAGAGGAGTCAAGGACGCTGGTGAATGAAGGATTGTTTGGAGTGTAGATTAACGAGTTAAATGGAAATGTTTTGTCCGAATTCAAGTTGAGACATTGGACAAAACTTTCTTGATGTGTCGCTGAAGTTGCTACTGAAACGGATAATATGAGAACTACAAATGGCAAGTGTGAGATTGGTGACAACATGGCTTGTGTTATAAGATTTGAGACTCTGAGGGTGTCACCAATGTTATATATATATATTTGAGCCATTGTGCCAGAATGCTATGACATTATAAGATGTTTTAGCTAAGACATGCGTCATACTGACGAAGAAGAGCACGGACATATTTGGAGTGAGAGTTCTAGTCTTTAATCATGATTTTGTTTGTTAAAATTAATTTTAATTATACAGTGTGGAACAAAAACTTGTGCTTTAACATTTTTTATTTAAAGTAATTTCAAGTAAAAGATTGGAATATGAAAAAATATATTATACAGGATTTGGTTAAGATGGAGTCCCATTTTATAATATATCAATGAAGATAGAATAAAGGAATTGATTGAGGACATTGAAAATTTTCCAAGTTTGCCTTCTATCCATGACCACCTTTCTAACTTTTTCATTTTACAAAAACATCTACCATTTTCGCAGTCAATTTGAAATAATGAGTTTCTTGTTTGATCCCATGAAGAAAAAAGTGGTATTACTATTAACCTTTAGTCATGTACTAGGCAAAGCATTATTAGTCGTTAATAGCCCCACGGGTTTCTTGATGTTTCTTTGAATTATATATTAAACATGTATTTTCTTTCTTGCTCTTTCGTCATCATGCTATCATGCACCAGATAAAACAAATTCTGTATAATTAATATTATCACTTAGAAAATGTGAGAAACATAACCAAAATCCACTTAAGGGAAGGATGGTACTTATTCAAAATGAGTGTTCTAGTATTAATTTGATAATAATGTAGTGAAAGAGTTTTTTTTGAGACGAGAAAAGTCATGATATTCTTAAGTTTATTTACCTTAAATTAATATTTATAATTTTTAATTTTTATAAAACTTAATGATTATTAATATATATATATATATATATATATATATATATATATTTGTATTTATAAATTTTACTTTTCACTATTTTATCTTTTTATATTATTTTATTTTATTATATTGATAATATATCATTTGATATCAATCATTATTTTTTAAAAAATAATTCTATAAAATAAAGATTAAATTCACTTATATGTTATTATGTCCAAGTAACTATAGTCGAGTTGTAATTTCTCTCCATACACATATTTGAATCAATTCCATGATCTTCCGGTGGTTATAATTGTTAGAAAAGAAAAAGAAGATACCGAAATTGAACACATTCAATACAAAAGAAAAGAATAAATAACAGTATTTCTTCTGTTTGCCTAGTAAAAAATATTTCCCGATAAGCTTAACTCTGGTAGAACTGTTGAGGTAACAATTTATGGTGCTATAAAGTTTTTGAATGTAAACAAAACAATCTGTGATGCTTATTTCGTTATCGATTTAGGGTTTGTTGTTATCATTCAACAACAGAAAAACATCTACAGAGAGTATCAACAGTTCATCGATGATGACTTATATATATATATATATATATATATATATATATATATATATATATATATATATATATATATATATATATATATATATATATATATATATATATATATATATATATATATATATATATATACTAATGGTGGTAGTGATAATGAGAGGTTATGGTGTAAATAACAAGTTATACATTTTTTAGGTCAAAAGAGTATTTTACCTAAACAAAAATTTAAACAACAGTGTCACATCACTATCTCTCTTTGCCATGTTAGCAAATTTATAACCGAGCTAAAAAATTTGATAAAAAAAAAATGTTACATTTTATAATGATTGAGTTGACGCGAAAGATTTTATTAAAACCATTTTAATAACTAAGACATTCTTCAATGAAAATTATACAACAATAAAATCTTGCACAACAATGGTTGTTGTGAGATGACAATTCCCTAATAATAATAATGTTGTAATAATTATTTGAATTAGGTTGGTTAGTTTAATAAATCTCAGTTATTACTTTAAATATTGTGTTTCTATAGTATTTTTGTATGAGATTGTATAATTCAGTTTTTACATTAAATACAATTTTATTCAGTGTACCTCTTTTTCTCGATATTCTCTTTTTGTAAATTTTTTTACTCCACTTTTCGTTAACAGATTGTAAATTTTGAAAATTCACTCGACACACACTTTCATCCTCGAACGCGTCCTCACATCTAACATATAAATATATAAATATATTTGTATTTATATTTATATATTTTATATTTATATATTTACATGGATATACATTTTTATTTGTATATAAATATAATTTATGTATAAGTTATTATCGAGAAAATCCCGGTAGCTTAGTGGTTGGAGTATCAGCCTCCGACTCTAAGGTACCGAGTTCGAATTTTGCCAATATAAAAGGGAGAGGATGGTAGAGGAGATAGATAGGGTAATTAGAGAGGGTTATGAATAAATAAAAATATATAAATAAATAAAAATATTAGACTTTCTACATCGGTTCCTTACAACCGATGTGGAAAGTCACACTTTCTACATCGGTCGTATGACTGGTTGTTGTGAGATGACAATTCCCTAATAATAATAATGTTGTAATAATTATTTGAATTAGGTTGGTTAGTCTAATAAATCTCAGTTATTACTTTAAATATTGTGTTTCTATAGTATTTTTGTATGAGATTGTATAATTCAGTTTTTACATTAAATACAATTTTATTTAGTGTACCTCTTTTTCTTGATATTCTCTTTTTGTAAATTTTTTTACTCCACTTTTCGCTAACAATGGTATCAATAACTTCAAGATCCGGAAAGAAGAAGACAGAAAGGACAACATGTCAGTGTTTAATAACAAAATTTTGAATAATTATGATAAATGGTGTGTGAGAATGAAGGCTATCTTTGGGTTCCAAGAAGTCTTAGATATAGTCTTGAATGGATATCATAGGTTACCAGAGAATCCCATCAAGTTACAACGTGCTTTATTTTGTGATACAAAGAAACGTGATTGTCGATGAAAATAATTTTCATAAGATCTCGTTGGCAAACACATTGAAAGAAGTTTGTAACATATTAACGCAAAGTTATGCAGGAGTAGAGAGGTTAAAGATGGTGCGACTTTAAACCTTACGTTGTCAATATGAGTTATTGTAGATGAGAATGTAAGAAACCATCCAAGAAAATTTTTTAAGATTGTTGTCAATCACTACAAAAGAAAGAGCCTATTATCTACAAAATATTACCTACGGATAAAAATTCGTAGGTAAATTTTATATTACCTACGGATATTACCCACGGATAAAAATTTGTAGGTGAATTTTATATTACCTACGGAATTCTATCCGTGGGTAATTATCCATTACCTACGGATATTATCCGTAGGTAATGTCATCGTAGGTAATTACCTATGGAATTACTATCCGTAAGTAAATTATATTCAATTGTATGTAAGTTATCCATTACCTACGGATATTATCCGTAGGTAATGTTATCCGTGGGTAATTTCGTAGGTAAATATATAAATATATAAATACATAAATACATAAATACATAAATATATAAATACATAAATACATAAATATATAAATATATAAATATATAAATACATAAATATATAAATACATAAATATATAAATATATAAATATATAAATACATAAATACATAAATATATAAATACATAAATACATAAATATATAAATACATAAATATATAAATATAAATATAAATATATCAAAATATAAATATATCAAAATATAAATATATCAAAATATAAATATATCAAAATATAAATATATTTTATATTTATATATTTTATATTTATATATTTTATATTTATATATTTTTTATTTATATATTTTTTATATTTATATATTTACACGGATAAATATAAATATAATTTATTTGTAAGTTATTATCAAAATATCCTAATAGCTTAGTGGTTGGAGTATTAGCCTCCAATTCTAAGGTACTGGGTTCGAATTATGCCAATGACAATTCCCTTAATCTAATAATAATTCAAAGTTCCAAAAATAATATAAATATATTTTATATTTATATATTTTTTATTTATATATTTTTTATATTTATATATTTACACGGATAAATATAAATATAATTTATTTGTAAGTTATTATCAAAATATCTTAATAGCTTAGTGGTTGGAGTATTAGCCTCAAATTCTAAGGTACTGGGTTCGAATTCTACCAATGACAATTCCCTTAATCTAATAATAATTCAAAGTTCCAAAAATAAAATAAATAATAAAAATATAAAGGGAAGGGAAGGGGTTGTAGTAAATAAAAATATTTTGTTTAGGTGAGTGCATTACCTACGGATTTTACCCGTAGATAATAAGCGTTTTTTTGTAGTGAATTACAAACTCGATGAAGTTATGTGGTGAAAGCTTGAAGGAACGAACGGTAATAGAAAAGGTGTTGAGGACCTTGATGCAAGATTTAATATAATTTTAGTTCCTATTGAAAAGTTAAAATATCTCAATTTGTTAAAGATGGATGAATTACAGGGCCATTGGAGGCTCACAAATAGTTGTTACGTGAGCAAAAGAGAAGTCCAACGTAGAACTGACATTGTTGACAAAATAAAAGAATGAAGGTAATATAAAATAATCAAACAAGAGAGGTCAAGAAAGAGGTAGAAATAATGGTCGAAAAGTTCCAGAAGAATGTACAGTGTTACAGTTATAACAAGTATGGTCATTATGTTGCTGACTGTTAGAGTAAAGAAGACGAAGCAAATGGCACAAAAAGAAGACTCGGAGGATGAAGTATTGTTGACCTCGATGAAACTAGTGGACACTTTCGGTGAATCCTAGTACTTGGATACTAGTTGTTCAAATCAGATATCATTTCAAAAGAGTTAGTTTGTTGATCTCGATGAGAGTGATAGATCGAAGGTAAAATTTGTAGATAATTTGATAATAAACTGTGAAGGAAAAGGTAGAATCATGATCAAAAGAATAGATGATAAATTTGCAATAATTTTGAATGTGCTTTATGTTCCAGTCATAAAGCACAATCTATTGAATATCAGACAACTACTTCAGGAAAGGTATTTGACCAATTGAAGATCGAACAAG